CTTGTCCACTAGCACAAGGATGAAGGTCTCGGAAGACAAGATTCTATGTCACCTGAAAAAGGAGAGTGCTGAGTGTCATGCCTTTTCTACTTGACCTTGGCTTCTGAGGATAAACATGGCAGCATAAATCCAGCACACGTGAGAACTGGGTTCTTAAAAGGAACGCTGTGTTTGACGTCCAGGACCCTTCCTGCTGTTACCAGTGTTTGGTCCCGTGACCAGCACAGTCTTGACATATTTGGAGACATTCCTGAGGTTTATAAGCTTTGCAGGCAGCATTGGGAACTCCAGCTTTCAATGTCTGGTTCCATTTGATCAAACCCTTTGACGGAAAATGCATACTACAATGTCTTTTAGTTTCTTTTATAGATTCTTTCCATCACACAAAATCACCTAAAGCTATTTGTGGAGAATGTAATGAGCCAATGCATTCAAAATAAAGTCTTAACTGGGGGGAAAAAAGTAAACCTTAGCTTAGAACCTATCGCTAAGTCTATTATTACTGCACCGTCTATTTTGGGGGGTTTACACATTAATATGGATCTTTGGGCATCTTGCAATCTGTCTCAGGATCAACTTCACAAAAGACTGAAGGAAATTAACAATAATTGAGGGTCTATTATGTGTTCAGCCCTGGGAAACATGCCTCTTTTAGGTATTGAGGTCTTCTTTCCTTTCTATAAAATTCATCTATTTTTGTTTTTAAAAAATTCATTTATTTTAAATGAACAGTGTTCAATGAGTTTTAATAAGTTTGTGCAATCTAGCTTAGAACCCTTGTCACTGAGGTTCCTTCACACCCTCCGCAGTTAATCCCTGCTCCCCATCCCCAGCCCCAGCCTACCTCTGATCTGCTTCATCATCACAGCTATGCCCTTTCTAGGAATCTCACATAAATGGAATCCTACAATCTGTAGTCTTTTGTGTCTGGCTTCTGTCCACTGAACATGATGTTTTAAACATTCACTCATGTTGTTGTATGTATCACGCGCTCATTTCTTTTTACTGATGATCAGTGTAACTCCACCGTATGGATATATAAAACACATTTTGTTTATCGGTCAACTTTACATGGGAGGAGACTTGCTGGATCAGATGGTAAGTGTATGTTTAACTTTTAAACACATGACCAAAATGCTCCAAAGTGGATACGCCACTCTCTACTCCACCCAGCAGCGTGAGAATACTTTATCATTTGAGGAGGCATGAGTCAAGTGTCCATTCAGATTTTTTTATCATTTCAATTGAATTGTTTATTTTTTGATGACTGAGTTGTAAAGGTTCTTTATATTTTTTCAAGTCCTTTGTTAGGTAATTACTTTGCAACTATTCCCTTCCCATCTGTTGCTTGCCTTTTCATTTTCTAAATGATGTCTTCTGAAGAGCAAAAATTGAATTCTGATGACATCTAATTCATTGACTTTTTTCTTCTACTGTCCATAGGTTTTGTATGGTATCTAAGGAAAGGGTCCCTAACCCAAGGGAAATTTTCTACTATTTTCCCACAACTTTTCTACTTGTAGCTCATTCTTTGAGGTTTACGATCCACTTTGATTTCATTTTTGTGTTGGGAGTGATGGTAAGGGTCAATGATCGTTATTTTGCATATGGAAGTTCAACTGTTTCAGCACTACTTGTTGAAAAACGATCCTTTCCTTATTACCTGTGATGCAAATCAACTGACCACATTTCTGAAGCTTTGTTTCCAGACCTTTTCTTCTGCACACTGATGCCTGTGGCATCCATCCTTATGCCAACACCACACGCTGGTGATTACTGTAGCTGCACAGCAAGTTTTGAGATCAGAAAGAGTGAGTCCTCCAATTCTGTTCTTTTTCCACAATGGTCAGGCTATTCCAGGTCCTTCGCATTTCCATGTACATTTTATTATTAGTTTGCTAATTTCTACCAAAGGACAAAGCCTACAGAGATTTTGACAGAGATTACACTGAATATGTAAGATCAATTTGGGAAGAATTACCAATACTGAGTCTAATCCATGAGTATGGTACATACTGCGCTAACTTAGTTCTTTTATTTCTCAACAATATTTTGTAGTTTTCAGTGTACAGCTTTCACAACTCTTATGTTAAAATTTATCCTTAAGTATTTAATTCTTTTTGATGTATAATAAATAAAACCGATCTGTTTAAAATTCCATTTTCAGGTTGTTCATCATTAGCATATAGAGATATCATTGATCTTTGTGTACTGATTTTGTATCTTGCAACTCTGCTACACTCACTAATATTCTAGTAACATTTTTAGTAGCTCCTTTAGGATTTTTCTGCCTACAAAGATCCCATTGTCTGTGAACAAAAATCATTTTATTTTTCTTTCCAATTCTTAAGCCTTTAGTTTCTTGTTCTTGTCTCATGGTCCCTGACTTTTGCATTTGAATTATTAGCAAACTTCTCTTCAGTACATCCCACACTGAGACTCCTACACCCCTTTCATGAACGCTGGAATCCGATTTTTGTATATCCTTCACTCTGATGAATGATCATTTCTAATTGTGCACGTCACCGTCGATCAAAAATTCAGTTTCAGCAGCACTACTATCTTTGTTTATAAAATAGTGTTTGGACAATTATTTCAAAAATGTGAACTGCATTTTGCACTCATCAGTTAGAAGAGAAGGAATAAAAACGGGAAAAAGATCGTGCTGCCATCAGTAACAAGCATGAGTCTCATAAACTAAATAGCAGCCAAGACAAAGACGAAAACCATTAGCTGTGTGAAAGCGGCAGTTCTGTAGTCTCAATTAAGTGCTCACTGGACTTAATAAGCTGGTCAACCACGAGAAAGAATAAAACTAAAGAACACAACTTGGTAAAGTAAAAACATAACATCAAAGACGTGTCTGAACTGCAGAGCAGAATTGGTGATTTTTGTCATACATTTTAGGTTTCCAGGAACATAACTGCCTTTCTGATAGGTGCAACTGCTGTTCCGCTTGACCACAAATCAATTCACAAACAGACTGAAGAACACAGTGGATCTCAAAATGTGGGAAGTACCAGGACTTCATTTAATCTTACAGAACTTCTGAGAAAGGTGTAACGATTCACATTTGGAAATCAGAAAACAGACACAGAAACTGAAGTGACTTGCTCAAGTTGTAGAGTCAATAGTGGAGACACGGTTCAAACTCAGATCTGTTTGGCTCCCAAAACTCTAAACTGGGTCCCTGGTTTCCTGAGCAACCCAGCTCCCTGATGCAGATCCCCAAGCCCGGGACCTGCATGCCTGCTCAGGAAGCCTCTTGCTCCACATCTGCATGGCTTCTGACCTCTGGGTTTCCCATGACCCACAGGCTACCCTGCAACAACTAGGGAAGAATGTATCTCCCCAGTGTGCTCTGTCCCAAAAATACCAGCCCGAAGATTTGAATACGACGATAAATAAAAAGATCTGAGGAGGTTACATAAATAAGATACATGCACATAAATTTGAGAGCTTGGTTTGAAATCAGTGAGTGATTTTCCTTTGAGGTCAGGGGCAGAAATGCTCAGGAAGTCGGAATAAGAAAGATTAGTGAAGTTTTTAAGTGAGGTAATTCAGGCTTTTCTTCTCTGCTTTCATTTTTGGGCAGATGCATTAGAAAGTGAATGCAGAGAAGTTACTCTAAGATCCTTAAATTGTGGATGGATCTTAAATTGTGGTGATCAAGTTCAACCTTCTCTTTCAACACCCCACCAGAAAAATGCTAAACCTTAGGTGCAGATGACTCAAACCAAAATCTTTATTATCACGTGGATTTGCAAGGCCAGGAAAGAGGGCCCAGCCTGAGTTTCCACAGTGAGGACACAGAGCAAAGAAAAAGGAGACATCAGAACTGCTTCTCATTGTGGATTTCTTGGTTCATTAGAAAGCCTTTCAAAAGGCTCTTTCTGTGAAACACAGAGAAATCATAGCGCCCCCTACACTTGGCAATACACAAAGCCAGAAACAATTGCCTCCGCCCGATGTAACAGAAATAAGCCCTATGAGAAACGAGGAAGCTGTCCTGCATAATCTTACCCTCTGATCAGCAGCCCTTTTGAACAAGATTTCCCCCCACAAACCTTTTCTTTTACTTCCTGTATGAATCTGGCCATCAATCCCACTCCCCAAATAACACGCGTATGTACAGTCCATCTAGCATTTAGATGTGCGCAGCGATGCCATGGAAAAGCTTCATAGTTGGCACAATATTAGAAACGGCCTACACCACTGAGGGACATGGTGGCGTGGCCCCCAGGCAGAACAGAAGCCGGAAACTCTGGGTCCACAGCCTCTCGCCTGTTTGCAAATAAAGTTTTTTGTTTGTTTGTTTGTTTTTTATCCTCCACCCGCACAACCCAACCAGGGCCGGGGACAAACTGCAACCGAGGTACACGCCCTTAGCAGGAACTGAACCTGGGTCTCTCTGGACCACAGGCCGACGCTCTAACCGCTGAGCCAAACTGGCCAGGGCAACAAATAAAGTTTTATTAGAACACAACCACGCCCATTCATTTATGTCTTGTCTATGGCGACTTTCTTGCTACAAGGAAAGAGTAGCTACCATGGCCACTGGGACTGGTCCACAAAGTCTAAAACAACTACTATCTGGCCCTTTACAGAAAAGGTTGGTCAACCCTGGGATAACATGTTTAAATAATATGGAAAAATACCCTTGCTAAAATGTTAAGTAAAAACTGGGACATATACTATGTCATGTATAGTATCGTCACAACTATGTAAATCAAAGGAGAGTGGGCATAAAAGAGACCTGAACTATTAAGCAGTTGGTTCAATCTGGGTGGTAGTGTTATGGGTGATTTTTCTTCTCCCCATCTATATATTCCAATTTTCTAAAATGACCTTTCTGTTATAATAGAAAAAAACGGAACCTCGTTTTAAACGTTATTTTAGTTCATGTCTGTCTTGCTCATAGTGGGTGTGACTACATTCAGCTGCCCCGCCCTGGCCACAGGTGTGCTGAGGGCGGGAGGCGGGGAGTCCCCGGCAAGTACCTTATGTTCGTCCCGAAGGTGGCTGTCCAGCTCCTCCGTGTGCTTGGTCTCATAGTAGCAGAGTTGGCATTTGTAAGGTTTCAGCTCATTGTGCTTTTCTATGTGCTGCTGAAGGCTCTCGTCACTGGAGCAGGTGAAGGTACACTTATCACAGCGGAAAACGACTCCCTGCAAGTATTTTGACAGTTTGGAACGGCACACTTCAATGGGGACAACGCGCTCTTCTGTGGAGACAAATTGAATGGAAAGATGGGAGTTTTTACTGACGGTAAGCAGATGTTCTTCCTTTGGAATATAAGAAGAAACTCACCCATTCAATGTTGCTGCTACTTATGATTCTGGGTCCGTGACTGCACACACAGACAACACCCTCCCCGCCACCCTGCGAAATCACATATTCCTGGATACAAGCAGGTGTTTTTATGACCAAAAGCTCTTTGTGTACTTAATACCCAGAAGGACCTATAAATAGGGGTGGGCGGGCTGAAAGGAGCTAGGTAATTCCTGAATGGAGGTGACCCAGGAGGGGCGAGGAACAGGAAGTGGCGGCCATTTCTGCCAACAGTAATGATTATCCACAGCAACCATTCCTCCTTCCCTGCCAAGCGTATTCAGGTGGACGTACAGATGTCTTTAGGGGCAAGAGACTGACATTCCCCCAGCACCTGGGGCCGCCACTGTGTGTCTTCCTAGCAACTCGATGAGGCTGGAGTCGTTCCCACTTTTTACAAATCAGCAAAGCGAGGAACAGAGCTCTAAGTAATTCTTCAAAACTCATAGACATTGACACTGGCCAGGATGAAACCTGTGTCCCTCATCTGTCCAACTGCAAATCCATGATGTCCCATCATTTCCAAAACCATCCCTGTCCCCCTTCCAAGACGTTCTCAAGGAGACAGTTTTCCTTTCCCTGAAACCAAGGGAATCTCTAGTCTAACATCAAATCTGAACACAGACCCCTGTACCCTTTCGTTCACTGAACGCCAGCGCGAACCGTGAGGCGCTCACACACGAGAAGGCGCAGGCCGCGCTCGGGGCGATGGAGGTGGTGGGGGAGATGTGGGGGATTTGGGTCTTTTCCATCCCTAATCTGACTGTCACAAGGGAAAAGTAATACAAGAAGGAGGATGTGGGTGCTTTCCCCGTTCACATCCCAAATGCTGGAGGGCTGGAAACGCGTTTGTGCCTGTTTACGGGCACTCTCCGCCCTTGTGTTTAACTGCTCAAATTAAATTTCACACCAGTGTGCCCAGAGCATCGGCGCACGCGCCAGACACCCATAACTGGATAAAATTAAAATCTGTGCTATTTATACAAGGATCAAACATAGCGTGTGTGTTCACGCTGTCTGGATTTCAGGACTGTCTGTACGTTTACAAATGGACGCGTGCAATGTATACTTATATTATTGAGAAACAGCAATGTATTATTAAGTCAAGAGAGCGCCGTGTATTCTCGGAGTCACCAAGCAGCGAGGTTTCCCGAACATCGGTAGTTTGTGCGGGGGGGGGGGGGGGGGGGGGGGGCCTGGTCGACACAGGGCAAGCCCTCCATTTGCTGTCGGCCTGTGTCGGGCCCTGGGGAATTCCCCCACCCAGTGCTGCGCCTCAGTCTCAGCTGTCACACTCTCACCGCCTCGGGAGTCCGTGAATGCAGCGATTAATTGGCCAGCAAAAAAGCTGGGCAGAGGGAGCGTGGAAGGTGGTGTCTGCAACCTACTCCCTGGAGCGCTAATGCATATGTTATTTTCCCTATACAAAGAGTCGGTCGCTTATTTAGAAATATAAATATTTTTAAACCGAAGGATAGCAGACAGCGAAGAAACACATGATTATAATGTAATCCACACATTTTCTTAGAATAGCAAATGTTTAACAGTCTTCCAACCATTCCGTTCCGCGGTGTGGTGTGCAGGGAGAGAAAACGCTTTGGCGTAAATCAGTGAGCCTGAAGCGAGCCCGCCCTGCCACGCTCTGCTCTTCTAACCCACGTTGGGGCCGAACAATCCCTCGTTGCAGGGGCTGTCCTGTGCGTCGTAGGATGTCTCTCAGCGTCCCCGGCCTCGACTCACCAGATGCCAGTGGCACCCCCTCCTTCCCAGTCGTGACAACCAAAAATGCCTGCAGACAAACGCTCCCCAAGGAGGCAAGACTGACTCTGGTCGAGAACCCCTGCTTCATGCACTGGGCCAAGCAAGAACCCCAGCTGCCCTGGGTAAGACACGTGGGGCCATGAGCCACGAGCAAGCTGGTGCCCCCAGCAAGAGACGGGGTACAGGCTGAGCCAGGGGGCCCAGCACACCGAGGGTATGCGTATGGGAAGTGTGGACATGAACTTTCCAGCAACTTCCTGGAGACTGCATCCCCCTGCTCGCTCCACGTTGGTTCCTCACTTGTATTTTGTCATTTCTTCCCCTTTCTTCTTTGGCTCTGGCCGTGCCGGGTGCCGGGTCTGTCAGCCTCAGTGGACAGTTATATTTTCCATGTAACAATGTCTCCAACACCTCGAAGACAGTCTCTTAAGCACCCTCCAATACCCCCCCCCATAAAGAATCGGTTCTTTCAAACTTGTTTTTTTATAGGTCTCCTTTTCAATGTCTCTACCACTCTGGTTCATTTTCTTTGCAGTTTCTAATTTCACTGTGTGTCTCAGTGAATTTTATGCCGTCCTGGGCGCCCAGAATAAGGCTGTGGAGTTGAAGGAACAGTAATTAACGTGAACGGCCCCGACGATTTATTAAGTGCTCACAAGGTGTTGAGCACGGTGAGGTGCTCAACCCTCACAGCTACTTTGTATTCTCCTAACACTCTGCAAAGTCAGTTTTAGAATCTTGGGTTTACCGACACCGAGACTGAGAACTGATCCGTTCAGCTCCTTCCGCATGTCCTCTGGGTCGGCACAAAGCTGTGACCTGGGAGGCTGGGCCTCCTGACCTGGGCCAGCGCCCTCCTCCTTCACCCCAAAAAGAGCAGGGGATTCCTGGTTGTTTAAAAAGGCAAAAGCTACCGATGTCCGAGGCAACCACCCCGCCTGAACCTCTCCCAGACGTCTGGGCTGACACAACTGAACTTCGCGGCTCACTTGCTCTGAAAGGTCGGACTTCCCATTTCTAAATGAAGACCTAACCAACATCCCAAGTCTCTTCATTAAGGGGATTTTCACTAACATTAACTTTAGAAAAAGGTTCACTTTTTTCTTTCTAAAAACACAGCTACCAGGACCAAGATAAAAAAAAAATTAATAAAATAAAAAACAGGACCGATTCTGCGAGGCGGGCAAGTGGCCGAGCGCCTTCCTGAATGAGGTTATTCATGGCTGAGGCGAGCGGAGGGCGCAGAGCTGGAGACTGGACCCCCTCCAGGTGTGGAAGGAGCCCGGGCGCCTGCAGACACTGAGCGCGCGGGGCTTTTTCCTACGGGGGCCACGACAACGTGGGTCTTTCTTGACTTCACACCTCTCAAAATTACCTTGGGTGAGGAATCGGGGCCTGAATCACACTCATTGTGACTCAGCTTCCAGCGCTGGCTGCAAAAATATTATGACTTCAGCAGTCCGGCTACAAGATAGATCGTGGCTCGCATCTCCTATTGGAAAGATGCTGGGTGCTGCGGCCGGGCGGGACCGAGGGGCCGGGCCTCAGAGCGACGCCACGCCCAACGGAGCGCGTGGGGCCTGGGGGCCACGGGCCGGAGGAGCACGTGTGGTCAAGCTCCCGTGGCGCTCTGTGGGAAGGGCTGCAGAACTGCAGCTACAGAGCGGGGTCGCTTCTGCTCAAAACAGCGAAAACCACATCCCTGCGGAGTCCAGCATCGCCGAGTAAAAATTCTTCCTGAGTGACAGACCACAACACGCATGGGTTTCCTCCCACACCGTGCCAAATCCAAATGAGGCAGGGAGAGACTTGGACGTCCTTCGCGCCGACAGACCGTACGCAGACGGTCTCATCCGAGCACCAGCCCGTCTCTGGGCCAAACCCGAGACCCACCAATGACACCTTCTCCACCAAATAAGCGACAAGGGTGAGTACTAGAAAGCCCTTTAGAACATAACAGTTTCCTTAAAAAAAAAAAAAAATCCCCAATCATAACTAAAACAAGACACACATAAACATAAAGCACAACAGCTCCTATTGAGACATTATTACTTTTTTTTTTTTTTTTTTAATCCTCACTCGAGGACGTTTTCCCATTTAGATTAGGAGGGAGGGAAGAAGGGAGAGAGCAACATCAATGAGAGAGCGGCACACTGACTGGTTGCCTCCCCTGTGACCTCAACCAGGGCTGGGGACAAACAGCAACCGAGGCACATGCCCACGGCCAGGATCAAACCGGGTCTCATTGATCCATGGGCTGACGCTCTGACGGCTGAGCCAAACCGGCCAGGGCAGACGTTACTAAGTTGTGATGTGAGCCAGGTTACCATGCAAGCCAGAGAGAGCTGGAAACGGCGCCTCCAATTCCAACAGGCAAATGTATCTGGTGGGGATGGAAGGGAACATGTAGTTTTGCTGAATAAAATGAAAGCTTGGCCATCTCACTGTAGGTGTTTTCCCTCAAGAAACATGACCCTGATTGGATATGTTAAGGGACGCTCGTTCTGGTCCAAGAAGACACCCACCTGCAAGTTTTGGTTAAATTCAGTGTTTGTCTAAGTGCCGGGGTTACAGGTAGGGAAACAGCTGCTCGCACGCCAGCTGGAGAGCAGCGTCAGTGAATTCCACAGCCCCATAATTATAAGGTAAGTGTTTGGCAAACCTGTGTTTCATCCTGTAATTCAATCTGTGCCTAATATTTTTTAGGTTCACTGCAGGTGCCCAAAGTACATATTGGCAAAGCCACGCACGAGGCACCCTGCTTCCAGTGGCCACAAACTCCGCGGAAACAGACTCACCAAACGATTCCTTGGTCCACTGTCACTCTCCCCACCAAAGTTCAAGTTCCTTCTGTGCACGAGGCTTGCCTGACTCGTCCCGGCTGTATCCCAAGAGCTTAACACGAGGCTAGCACACAGTGGGAGTTCAATGCATGTTTGCTGCAGGAATGAAAACTCCCCCCAAGTCCTACCACCAACTTTCTCCTTGAAACTAAAGCCTCGGGGCTTGACCTTACCCTCATGGCTAACCTCACTAAGTGTTGATCTGACCCGAGTTCACAGTTCCTCAGAGATGGGTCTACCAATCCTTTGCTCCAACCTTTGCTAAATGAGTCTTCATCAGGGGTCTCAT